CAGTTGGCTTGTTAGCTCAATTGGTAGAGCGCTGCACTAGTATCGCAGAGGTCAGTGGTTCGAATCCCGTACAGGCCTGATTTTTTTTTCAGGTCTGATTTTCGCTATTGCCTAAATAGCGCTATCTACTGCGAGGATCGTCCATCATACGTATCTAATACCGCAGTTCAAAAATATATGAACTTCATATATTCATTGTATCTCATTTATTACTTTCACGGGTTTATTACGAATCAACTTAACGGCCTGCTCTCAGTTGGCTTGTTAGCTCAATTGGTAGAGCGCTGCACTAGTATCGCAGAGGTCAGTGGTTCGAATCCCGTACAGGCCTGATTTTTTTCAGGTCTGATTTTCGCTATTGCTTAAATAGCGCTATCTACTGCGAGGATCGTGCATCATACGTATCTAATACCGCAGTTCAAAATATATGAACTTCATATATTCATTGTATCACACCTAAGAACGATAGAAACTCTAGATTCGTTCAAGAAGAACATAAGAAAAGTCGACCTTTCAACTCTCGTTGAAATTTAAAACTTAACTAAATAACTTTATTATCTTTTTAATTATCTGCTGAAAATAACTATTATCTACATATGTTAACGCATTTTATTTTTAAATTTTTAATATCCACCATTAGCTTGTAGCTAAAAACATAGACACTTAAATAAAGTTTTTCATTCATTTCATTCATTCAACCTTATTGATGTTGACGCACCTCTCTTTTCGTCGCAAAATTTGACGGAGAGTAAAATTAAACGCAACCTGATCATGATATTTTTGAAGAAATCCATAATAGTTAAATTGTTTGACTTCCGTAGAAATTGAACTCTCGATAAGGTTTGTTTGTGGCTAATTCGATTTTCGGCATAGGTGCTACAATTGCTCTATCATAATGAACACTGTAAAGAATCTGAAAGGAGTTTCTGTAACAATACAAAGGCAGCTGGCAAAGTCAATTTTGCCTTCTACCTATGCAATGATTATTTATAATTATTATCAAATGGTTGCCTGTGTTACCCATCGATTAAAAAAAAAAACAGATGATAATTGTTTCTATGCGAAAATTAAAAATAAGAAAACATCCTGTTCAAACAAGAATAAAACTGAGATATTGCAAAGTGAGTTTTTTCTGGTCTGTGCGGAAGCAATTGAAATACAATTGAGCATATTCAGTCAAGGGATTTCTGGCGTCCTTTAAATGTGAGAAATGAAGACAGTTTTCCTTAGTCAACTTAGCCACAACGTTTTTGATGCGGAACCCGAATAATTCTCTCAATAAGCTATTTTCCGGTACGTTTTTTTCGAAAGTCTTCCTTCTGTAGGTCTCTAGAATTAAAGTTTAAGATGAAACACTCACTTCCAAGGAGGCACAGTCCCTTAATAATGCTTGAAACCATCACATTTCAAATGACTGTCAAAAAAAAAAACAACTATCACTTCCAACACATTCCAAGTAAACATAAAGAACAAATTTAAAATCGGGGCCTGCAAAATATTTCTACAAAACCAACCTAACTTAGGCAACAGATGAACTAATTCCCGGCACTGAAAACAAATTATGATAATTTGGGAAATATAAATAAACATAACGTATCAGCCACCGTCCACGTTTTAATTTGGAGCGCAAAATCCCTCAGCTGTAATTCAACATGTTTGTTGTTTGTGCTTAAGTCAAGCACAAACAGCAGTAAGAAGGTTTGCCAGTTGGAATAAATTATTGTGGATCGTTTTCATTCAAAGCACCTGGCTGCCAATGGACGAGTCCGAGAAATCCACAACTCGCGCTTGAGAAATCCTCGTGTATTCTCTTAATACGGCTGTTGACGGATTGAAAACCAATCCTGAAACAAAACGATCTTTGAGTTTCCATTTCGATCCAATTACTGGAGGGAGACTGATCGTTTCGATGCAGCACGCGGAATTCTCCTTCGCCACCGCATCAATAACAGAGTTATCACAAAGTCGTGAAAGACGAGAAACTGCCTTTAATTTGAGAAAATATTCATAATCTATTGGTTGGTAGTCCTCGTCTGGTATTGTTTGATCCACAGAGTCACGTTTTCGGCTCATAGCGCAATGTAAAGCCCTGATTCGTCCTGCACTACCCGTACAATACCTTTCCCCTTTTATTTCGATTCTCTTATCTCCTTTATTCGCAGTAGATTCCCGCGCTAAATTCATGTTTCGTTGACAAGCTTTACCGCTCGAGTGTGGTTTGTCTTCGGTTTGTTGCAACCGACAGCCACCTGTTTTCATTCTTTCATGTTTGAGGGACAAATTCGATATATCGTTTGTCGATTGACTTCTCGCTCTTGTAAGGCACTTTCGTTGTGAGGGAGAGTCCACGCAACTTCTATATACAAACGGCGATTCCGTTCGACTATCGGTTTCGCTTTTGTATTTCGTTGCCAAATTGTACAGAGCAGACTCTTTTTGATTCCTCAATAATCTTAGCCCAAACTGTGTTCTTTGTAGTTCTCTAGTGAAAACTTCAGTCGATGACTTTAATGACATGTCTGAACTGGTTTCATTTATTTGAGTATTACTGCCTTCCTGCCGTCTTTCGGTGATGTTGACTACTTTCGCCCTTGATCCAGGAGAAAACGGATTATTACAGACGACATCTTCTAGCGACGATTTTTCCTGTGATGGCCTCAAAGAAAACTCCTTTTCTTTTGCAACCTTTTTGGTCCGTTTTAAATGTGATAACTCTTGCATATTTCCTTTGCTCTGTAATGCGATTCCTTGGACCATGAAAGAATTCGAGATTGGCTGTCCAAGGCTTCCTAGTGTATGGGATAACACATTATTAACAATTTCGCTTTTTCTGGGATACATTCTGCTGAATGTAAACAGTACACCGTTATATTTCTGTGAAGGCCATTCACTCTTTGCGGTGGAAAACAAGAGGATGAGCGTATTTTTCTAAGACGAGCTGAAGTCAAGCTTAAACAAACGCCTCTTAAAACGCGCGAGGTGATTCTTATATTGTGCTTTCTTCGACCTCCGAAGACGAAAACATTAAATACATTGATTTAAGAGTTTCACTAACGCTAATTGGTACAAGCGTTAGAGGAAGGTAATTGGCTTTCTCTCTTCCCAACCCTTGAAATATTACACAGAAAATCTTCAATTATGTCCATTTTGAAGATGCCTCAAAAGTTCTCAAAAAAAAAAATTATTGCAACTGCTGTTGACGTGGAGAGTCTACTGAGCACCTCAATTCCACTGCCTTTTAGCCGTCTCGAATGTTGTTAATTACGTGCCATGTTAAATCCGTTTCGCAATTTCAGTTGCCATGACAACGTAGTTTCTAGCAGGTGTTTATCACTAGACAAGACAAACTGAACTTTTACGGATTATCATAATCATCATAATCAATTTCTAAATTTGAACTAAGCTCGAGCGCGAAACCAAACCGCACTCAGTTTTCTTCTTCCCTGTGGATGTAATAAAAATCTCTATTGCCATCAAACTGGATATAAACATGGCATATCTTGACGAGGCGTTAAGTCCAAAATAGTGAGGGCCTTTAATTTTTTTTCGACAAGCTATAATTAAATTGGTTGTGACAGGGTACATGTTTGTTTAGTTTTTGATATGAGTATTTCAATAATGTCGAAAATTAATAATTTTAGGACAAAAAGGATTCAAACTGAAGCTGTTATTTCATTCGCTAGTTGAGAGACCGAATAGAGAAATATTTATCATGAAACGTAAATTGTGCTATATTTGGTGATATAAATTTTGTTTTCAATGTATTATGAAGGAAAACTCACCATTACAACTTTACCCCCATTCAGACGGACCTGACCTCCTTTTGGTAAGAGCGTCAGCATGCGTTACTTGTAAATAGAATTAACCAGAATTATTGTTCCGACGACAATGATCTTCTTCTACCCTAAACAACAGAACATGGACCACCATTTATAATGCAAAGCACTCAAAACGGCCCTAAATCGAGGGAGAGAAAACATGTGCTAAAATGAATCTCTATCGTTTCAGATATTTTTTTGTGCGAAAATAAGCCAAAATTCGTTGAATAACGAGAGACGTTTAAGCCACGCCCACAATATAATTCGTTTATTTCCGCCATCCTCAAGGGAGTCCGGACAAAACTAAAGGTCCTGGCTGCTCAACAAGAAGAGCCTGCTTGGTCACTTAATCCATGTTTATTTCAACTGTATACATTGCTGGTTGGTTTATGTACACATTTTAACGTGACACTCACACCTATCAAAGAATTTTGTAAAAATATCATGATTTAAAATTGTTATTCTACAATTTTTCATTCTTAAGATATATTTTTGGCTATTTTAGTTAATATCCTGGCAAAAATTAAATATTTTATCCACTGAAAATAAATACGAATAATTTATTTTTCCATATTGGAGTTTCATTTGATTCACTCAGAGGGTTAAAGACCTTTAGTCTATCCAGCATTTAAAATTTTCCCCAATCACACACACAACAGTATTAGGTTACAGCTTGGCTCCAGATTTGTATACAGTAAATTTCCCTAAATCATATTCTGAGCTGTGAAGCTCCCTAACACCGCAGAAGCTATTACACCTTTGACGAAGAGATGGCGTAACCGGGGCTGGCGTCACTTCAATGTTATGCGACGCAGTGCGGCAGATGGTCATTTTAACTTTTTGCAGATTTTCATGTAAAAGCAAAAATTCTTGAAAAATCGCATCGGCCTTTGCAAACTCTGCACGGAAAGACGAATCAATGTTTTTCATAGGGGTGCCATGTTTGAGCTGAGTGAGTTCTATTCCTCCTAAGCCGATCTGTACTATGGAACGTCGCCGCGAGATAGACAGATCGTTTTTCTTAGCTTTAGCCAGGATAAAATTCTTCGCTGTTGTGGTCAAAAGTTTCAATTTCTTTTCCAAGTCCTTGGCGGCCATATTTGCAGCAATCTTCTCCTTAGATTCTTTCAGATGCTTCATAAGAACAGCTATGACAACATTGACCAGTACAAACTGCGCCGCCAGTACAAACGTCACAAAAAACAGCTGTGCTATGTATCGGCTGACACACTCTGCTGACTCGCCGCAACTCAAACGTAAAGCGTCCTTGGGAGAAAAAATATGTAAATTAAGATCTGGGAAGAACTGGCGTTTAAATTCAATCGAATCATTTCTATACTTTATATTAACACTCATGAGCCGGCAAACAGGTTCTCATTAGCATTAGGTCTCATTAGCAATAGATCCCTGAACCTTTGCTCCAGGCCTCCCGCGTTGCTCCAGGCCTCCGGCGGAAGAACTGAAGAAATGCCCTTCAAAAACCGCTGATTTTGAGATCGTGCTCCCGAGTTTCATAAAACAAAATGGAATTTAAATATGCTACTACACAACTGAAAAGGACTGATACAAAAATGATTTCAGAGCGTAAGAACACCAATAAGCTCTCCTAAATGGTGGTCAAGAAGAACTACTTTCAATTCCTGTCACACAGTTGTTTTTGATTGCCTAAAAGGCAATGTTTGTAGTCCTTTCAAAGAATATTTTAAATTGTTAACCCACGATTTTAATACGAGGAACAGAGGGACCACCGTTGCTCTGCCGAAAGTGAGACTTGACTTTGTTCGGAAAAGTTTTTATTTTTTAGGAGGCCCAGCTTTTAATTTTTTACCTTTAAAAATCAAGCAAATTAGCAGTAGGGTACCATTTAGGGAGTCTTTCGATCAATTTTTTGCATAGGGCATTTAGTTAGGTGCGTAGTCATTCTTATCTTATTCTAGTTTTTATCCTTATATTATGTTATTTAGACAGGATCCCATTGATAACAGTGCTCCTGCACTGAAGGGCTATCCTGTATAAATATTCGTTATTATTATTATTATTATTATTATTATTAT